ACCCCCTCCCCCCTCAGGTTCCTGCCCCCTCAGGTGTGTCCCAGGTAGACGCAGTTGACCCGGTCGAGGTTACTGGTGACTCTGGTGCTGCTGCGGGTGCTGAGCCTGGGGGTGCTGACTCTGGGGGTGCTGTGCGCGGGGGTGCCGAGCCTGGAGGTGCTGCTACTGGGGGTGCTGAGCCTGGGGGTGCTGGGCCTGGGAGTGCTACTGCGGAGGGTGCTGAGCCTGGGGGTGCTGAGCCGGGGGGTACGGTGCCTGGAGCTGCTGAGCTAGGGGGTGCTGGGTCTGGGGGTGCTGGGTCGGGAGCTGCTGAGCCTGGGGGTACTGAGTCTGGAGCTGCTGAGCCTGGGGGTGCTACGTCTGGAGCTGTTGAGCCTGGGGTTTCTCCTGCTGCTGCGTCTCGCCGGGAGCCCCTCTCTCCACAGGAGCTGCGCGAGTGGTTTGCTCGCCGCTGGAGGCGTGCTGCTGGAGCTGGAGCTTCTTCGACCGTCGAGGGTGCTGGTGCTGCCGGTCCCGGAGCTGCTGGGTCTGCGGGTACTCCTGGAGCAGGAGCTCCTGAGGGTATTGGTGCTGAGACTACTGCTGTCTGTCCCGGCGGTGGTTCTGCTACTGGTGCTGCTGGAGGTCCTGCCGCTGGAGGTGTTGGTGGCGCTGGTGCTGTCGCTGAGGGTGCTGGTGCTGTCCCTGCTGAGTCTGGAGTTGCCGCGCGGCCTCGGCCGTACTTCGTTCTGCTCCTGCAGCAGGTTCTTGGTCTTTCTCCTCCGGTAGAGTGTCCACAGCCTGTCCACTCGCAGTCCCTGTTGGAGCCTTCCTCTCCACTGCCTGCTCCCTCTCCTTACACTGGTCCTACTGGAGGTCTTGCTGAGCGTCGTGAGCCTGCGTCTCGTCCTGCGTCGCCTGTTCGTGCTGCTCGCACTAGTGGTCGCGGTTCGCGTCAGCGTCCTCCTCCTGTCCCTGGCACGCACCGGATGTCTCTGCGTCCGTCCACTGCTCCTCTGCGTGCCCCTTTACCTTCTCCTCCTGAGTCCTCTCTTCTTGCGCTTGCCGACCCTGAGTCGGACTCTCTTCGTGCTGCCAGTCCTACTGTCACGCGTCTCCTTGCTACTGTCGTCACTGACCCCTCGTTTGAGTCCACCGCTGCGTCTGCCCTTGTCGCTGAGCTCGTCGACTTTGCTGCTCGCTGTCGTCTAGACTACGCTGCTAGTCTTGTTGCTGAGTCAGCGTCTGACTGTCCTCTGTCCGTCGTGGGTGACTGTGCTCTTGGCACGGACGTCCTAGAGGACAGGCAGGAGGAGTTACAGTGTCTGGCGGCTGCTTCACCTCATCTCGCGTCTGTACTGCTTGCTCCTGAGGGAGACCCGGATGCACTAGACATCCCGACTCCGCGCTCTTACGCGGAGGCCGTAGAGGGTCCCTACTCGTCTCAGTGGCAGGCAGCTATGGATGCAGAGATGGCTTCCTGGAAGTCCACAGGCACCTACGTTGACGCTGTTCCCCCTCTTGGGGCGAACATCGTCAGTGGCATGTGGATCTTCAGGGTGAAGCGGCCGCCGGGCTCTCCACCTGTCTTCAAGGCGCGGTACGTTGCTCGTGGCTTCAGTCAGCGGCAGGGAGTTGACTACTTTCAGACCTTCTCTCCCACCCCGAAGATGACCACTCTTCGGGTGCTGCTGCACATAGCCGCTCAGCGCGACTACGAGCTTCACTCTCTCGACTTCAGCACTGTGTTCCTGCAGGGTAGCCTGCACGAGGAGATCTGGCTGCGCCGTCCACCTGGCTTCACTGGGACTTTCCCTCCTGGCACCCAGTGGAGCCTCCGTCGGCCAGTCTACGGTCTCCGCCAGGCACCGCGTGAGTGGCACGACACACTGAGGACTACGCTTGCGGCTCTTGGGTTTGCTCCTTCTACTGCTGACCCGTCGCTGTTTCTGCGCACCGACACTTCTCTGCCGCCGTTCTACATCCTCGTGTACGTCGACGACTTGGTCTTTGCCACAGCGGACACTGCTGGACTCGCCTACGTGAAGTCCGAGCTGCAGAAGAGACACACGTGCACAGACCTGGGTGAACTGCGCAGCTACCTTGGCTTGCAGATCACTCGGGACAGAGCACGCCGCACCATTACCTTGACTCAGTCACACATGGTGCAGCAGGTCCTTCAGCGCTTCGGCTTCACGTACTCCTCGCCTCAGGCCACTCCTCTGTCTACTCGCCACTCGCTCTCAGCTCTGCCTTCGGATGAGTCCGTAGAGTCGAGTGGCCCGTACCCAGAGCTTGTTGGCTGCCTCATGTACCTGATGACCTGCACACGACCTGACCTTGCATACCCTCTGAGCATTCTTGCACGCTATGTTGCTCCTGGGAGACACCGACCAGAGCACATGGCTGCAGCGAAGAGGGTGTTGCGCTACCTGTGCGGTACGTCGGGCATGGGGCTAGTGCTTGGAGGGCGGAGTCCAGTGGTCCTTACAGGGCACGCGGACGCTTCTTGGGCTGACGACCAGGCTACGCAGCGGTCGTCACAGGGTTACACCTTCAGTCTTGGTTCCGGCTCTGTCTCGTGGCGGGCTACTCGCTCGTCTTCGGTTCTCAGCTCCAGTTGTGAGGCTGAGATCTATGCTGGGGCCATGGCTGCAGAGGAGCTTCGCTGGCTCACCTACCTGCTGACTGACCTTGGAGAGCCGCCTCGTTCTCCTCCAGTGCTGTACGTAGACAACAAGGCCATGCTGGCCTTGTGTCGAGCGCAGCGTCTGGAGCACAGAACGAAGCACATTGCTCTCCGCTACTTCCTTGCTCGTGAGCTGCAGCAGCGTGGACAGTTGCGGCTTGCGTACGTGGCCTCTGAGGTCAACACTGCTGATGTGTTCACCAAGGCACTCGCGCCTTGTGACCATCAGCGCCTCTGCACCCAGCTGGGTCTTGTGCCTGTCTTGCCTCACTTGCTCTCCTCTTGACTTTACTTGTACTGTGACATATATATACCTGCTCTTGCTTGTCTAGTTTTATATATATATGTCTGTACTCCTGCATGTGAACTGGCCTCTGGCCCTGCTCTTGTGCTCGGACTGTGTGGTGACATTGTGATCCACCCTGAGCTTGTTTTGCTTTGCCTGCTCTGCTGATTACACCCCACTTTGGCTATGGGGGTGTGTCAGAATATTATTCTTATGTTCTAGCCTGTAGTGGGGTGCTCTATAGTGAGTACAACCCTTCTAGGGTTTGCTATTTGTATCCCCATTTCTGCTAGTTCATTTCTCTTTCTTCTTCTAACTTTTGTCACACCTAACTGCTTCCGCTGTTGTCCTGCTTCTAGCGCGCCTAGGGGCGAAAATTCTTAGGGTTTTTCATCCCGCCGTGCGCCCGGGGCGCGCGGCGGTTTTCTGCCCGCCGTGCGCCCCGAGGTGCGCGGCGGTTTCGTGCCCTGGGGAGCCTGCGCTCGCCCCGCCCGTCCGTCGCGGCGCCCTGGGGAGCACGCGCGGCCCCCCGCCCAGCTCGTCGCGGCGCTCTGGGGCACATGCGCGGCCCCGCACTGCTCGTTGCGACGCCCTGGGGAGCCGCATGCGCCCCCTGCCTGTCCATCGCGGCGCCCTGGGGAGCCGCGCCCGCCCCCTGCCCGTTCGTCGCGGCGCCCTGGGGAGCCGCGTGCGCCACCCCCCCCGCCCCGCCCGTCCGTTTTGGCGCCCTGGGGGTCGTGCGTCGTCCCTCCCCTCGCCGTCCCCCGCGCTCCTGCCCCTATCCCACACGTTTTAGGGTTTTGGGGGTGAGGGGTGTGGGGGTGGCGGGTATGGGGGTGGAGGTTGTGCATTCCTCCCTTTGCTCCTCCTCCTCCCTCTTCTCTCACTGCTGCAGCTGTCGCTGAGGGGGGTGGGTGTGTGGGAGCCTCGGGTTTAGGGTTTAATGGGGGTGCGTGGGAGTGGAGCTAAGGTTTGAGCAGTGGGCGTGTGTCGAGGGTGTGGGGCAGTTGGAGGAGGTTGTGTGGAGGTACCTGTCGTGTCGCTTGCAGCGCCTGTAGTCCGTCGCCCTTGCTTCGGTAGCCAGTGAGCCTGCTGCACCAGTCGCCAGTGGGTCCGTTGCTCCTGCCGCTCTTCTATAGCCGTCGAGCCAGTTACTCCAGTAGTCCGTTGCCCTTGATTCGGGAGCCTCTGAGTCAGCCGCTCCTGTGCCCGTGCCTCTGCAGCTTCAGTCGTTGCCTCCCATCTTCTCTACCTCCACAGCTCCTCCTCCTCACTTGCGCGCTGTGATAAGCTCTAGCTTTGCTTACCTTTGTGAACTCCTGCTTTATACCTGCTTGCTCATTGTACTGATTACACCCCACTTTGGCTATGGGGGTGTGTCAGAATATTATTCTTATGTTCTAGCCTGTAGTGGGGTGCTCTATAGCGAGTACAACCCTTCTAGGGTTTGCTATTTGTATCCTCATTCCTGCTAGTGAAAACCCTCTCTTTGCCTAAACTGTTTCTTGCCTAGCTAGGGCTTTCCTAGCTATGGCTCCTTAGCTCTCAACTACTATTTTCACACCATGGACGTCTTGGGTTGGGTGTGGGGGCTCCTTTCTAATTCAGGGCAGGAGTGGTAGGCATTCTGTGATTCTCCTGTGGTTGATGGTTGGTACGCTATAATTTGTTTGTTTATGTATTTCATCTACCGGTATCACGCCAACTGATAGACAACAAAGCAGCGTCAAAGCAGAAACCCTTGTCCCTGTGCAACCACTTGCACCTCACCTGCCCTCTTGCTCATGCATTCTTCCTGATCTCCTTCAATCTCTACTTCCTTGTCTCCATGCCCTTCTCTCCTTTTTTATTTCAGTCCTGATGGCCTTGTTTCCCTCCTTCCCACTCTTCTCTCCCACCTTCCCACTTGTCTCTCCCTCCTCACTCCTCTCCCCGTCTGTACCCCTCGTCTCTCCTTCCTTTCCATTAGAGTCTCCTCCCCTCAAAGGCATGCCCCCTTCCCCCCCAGCCATGTCCCTCCTCCCTCCAGTCACACCCTCTTCCCCCTCAGACATGCCACAATCCCTCATTCTCAAGTGCTCCCGCTTCATACGCAATAGCTCCATTGTCCCTCACACACACGATTCCCCTTCCCTCACTCAACTCCTCGCCCTCACTCAACTCCTCGCCCTCACTCAACTCCTCGCCCTCACTCAACTCCTCGCCCTCACTCAACTCCTCGCCCTCACTCGTATCCCATCCAGCACTCAGATTCTCACCTGAAAGCAACTCTTCCTCACTACTCAACCCCACACCTTCACCTGCATTGACCACCCCTTGACCTGCATTGACTGCTCCTTGACCGGCAATTCTTGTTTCTTGACCAGCGTTGACTGATGCCTGACCAGTGTTGACTGGTGCTGGACCAGCATTTCTTGTCTGTAGCACTGCAGCCGTCCCCACACGACCCGCACCGAACCCTAATTGGTCGATAGCTGTCTCCGCCTGATTCGCTGCCACTCCCCTCATCGGATCTGCATTGACCACCGGTTGACTCCCATTGACAGCCCTTTGCCGTATACTGGCCGCCAATTTAGCAGCCACACACTCAGGGCACTCGCATTGATGCTCATTGACCATCACTGGAGTGGCAGCCACCCCCTCTTGACCAGCATTGACTGCCCCTTGACCAGCATTCACTGCCTGGGCCATCTGTTGACTTGCGTTGACTGCCCCTTGACGCATTCTAGCAGCCACACACTCAGGGCACTCGCATTGACGCCCATTGACCACCACTGGAGTGCCACCCACCCCGCCTTGACATGCGTTGACTGCCCCTTGACTGGCGTTGACTGCTCCCAGGTTCTGTCGCAGAAACTCCTGCACGCGATGCCCCAGCAGCTGCAGCCCTGCCGTGCTGCCCGCCCCTTGTGTGCCGCCCAACCCACCTGTGCCGCCCAACGCACTCGTGCCACCCAACCCAGCTGCTCCTGCACCCCCACCTGCTCCTGCTGCCCCACCTGCTCCTGCTGCCCCACCTGCTCCTGCTGCCCCACCTGCTCCTGCTGCCCCAGGTGCTTCTCCTACCCCCTCTGCCCCTCCTACCCCTCCACCTCCTCCCACCCCCCGTCCTCCTCCTCCTCCCCCGTCCACACCCTGTACACCCCTCGCTCCTCCTGCTGAGGCCGCTGCTACTGCTGCTGCTGCCATTCCCACACCCACACTCCCACCTTCTGCCATCGCCGCTCCCGTTTCGCCTACCGTTCCCAAACCCCTCCAACCGAACCCTGATTCCCCCATCCGCGGTATCCCCGATCCCATTCCCCCTCTACGAGTTTCAGCCATCCACATGCTTCTCACTCCCGCCCCTGCTGTTCCCACCCCTGCTGTTCCCACCCCTGCTGTTCCCACCCCTGCTGTTCCCACCCCTGCTGTTCCCACCCCTGCTGTTCCCACCCCTGCTGTTCCCACCCCTGCTGTTCCCACCCCTGCTGTTCCCACCCCTGCTGTTCCCATCCCTGCTGTTCCCACCCCTGCTGTTCCCACCCCTGCTGTTCCCACCCCTGCTGTTCCCACCCCTGCTGTTCCCACCCCTGCTGTTCCCATCCCTGCTGTTCCCACCCCTGCTGTTCCCATCCCTGCTGTTCCCATCCCTGCTGTTCCCATCCCTGCTGTTCCCACCCCTGCTGTTCCCATCCCTGCTGTTCCCATCCCTGCTGTTCCCATCCCTGCTGTTCCCATCCCTGCTGCTCCCACACCCGTTGTCGCCATCCCCCCCACCCCGTTCCCCCCAAATCCCGCCCCCCCTGCGCCCATCCCCGCCACACCCCCCACCCCACCCAACCCCCCCATCCCCGCTCCGCTCGCCACTCCCCCCCTCGCCACCCCAACACCAGCAGCCATGCCCTGCAGAGGGGCAAGGAGCTGGTCCGTCAGGGGCGAATCCACTCCAGCAGCAGCGGCAGCTTGAATCCCAGCCAGCTGCTGGTCAACAGCCTGGGTGTGCGCGCGCAGAGCAAAGAGGGTCTGCAGGGCGGGGCTCATGGCCTGGAAGGCGTGGGCGTCGAGGGGGCGCTGCAGGAAGGCATCGATGGCCGCCACGCGCTGCGCGTCCGTGAGAGAGGGCAGGGCTTGCACTGCCTGCACTGCCCTCACCACACTGTCTGCCACCGGGTCTGCAGGTGAGCGAAGGGTGGGGGTGGGAGGGGAGTAGGCGGGTGGTGGTTACGGAGGGAGTAGGCGTTTGTGAGAGTGCACCGCCTTCACCACACTGTCAGCCACCACGTCTGGTGGGGAGGAAGGTGGGGTGGGGTTGTGAAGCGGGTGGGTGGGAAGGGAGTTGGAGTGAGGCCGATGTTTGCACGTCCTGTACCACGTTGACCACACTGGCTGACACCGTGTCTGCAGGTGAGGGTACGGAGGAGAGTTAACATGGCCGGGAGGGCAGCATAATATGGGCTGTCCGCCACCGCGTCTGCAGCTGAGGAAAAAGGGGGAGGGGCGGAGATGAATGGGAGGGTAGGGGGTGTTGTGAGACAAGTCAAAGGTGTTGGAGAGAGATCCGATCCGATCTCAACCAGTCCGATCCAATCCGATCTGATCCGACCCAATCCGATCCGATCCGATCCCCTCCCATCCTGTCCCGTCCAACCCCACCCCACCCCACCCCACCCCACCCCAACCCAATCCCATCCCATCCCATCCCATCCCATCCCATCCCATCCCATCCCATCCCATCCCATCCCATCCCATCCCATCCCATCCCATCCCATCTCCCATCCCATCCCCATCCCATCCCATCCCATCCCATCCCATCCCATCCCATCCCATCCACTACCCCCCCCATCCCATCCCATCCCATCCCATCCCATCCCATCCCATCCCATCCCATCCATCCCATCCCATCCCATCCCATCCCATCCCATCCCATCCCATCCCATCCCATCCCATCCCATCCCATCCCATCCCATCCCATCCCATCCATCCCATCCCATCCATCCCATCTCCATCCCATCCCATCCCATCCCATCCCATCCCATCCCATCCCATCCCATCCCATCCCATCCCATCCATCCTATCCCATCCTATCCCATCACACCACGCACCTCGGTACACGTGCTCCTGCCCCTTCTTGGCCTTGCCTCTGAACACAATCAGGGCACGCGCCACACTCTCCATCACCCGCCGCTGCCGCTTCCTCTCCCTCACCTGCACCCACACCGGCCTCGACCGCTTCACACCCCTCCCTGCTCTCCCCTCCTCCCCACGCCCCCCTTCCCGCCTCTCCCCCACCCCATTCCGACCCTCTCGAGCCCCACCCACGCGCCATGCATTTGCATTCCCTCCTCCACCTCCTCCATCCCCACCCCCTCCTCCCTCGCCCTCAACCCCTCGCCTCTCTGTGCCGCCTTGCTCCCTCCTGCTCGCCACCATGCCAGCGATCCGCGCTGCCAGCCTCGCAGGGTACTCGTCCCTCTCATCCGCGCTTGCACCCCCTGTCCCATCAGCACGAGCCTCGTCAGCACGAGCACTGTCAGCAAATGTTACATTGCGACGTGCGATCTCACCACGAGGAGCGCCATTGGCCCGCGGTGCGTCAACTGTACAGCCTAACCCACCATCCTCCTCTCCAACCCCAGCTCTGCCAACCCCAGCTCTGCCAACCCCAGCTCTGCCAACCCCAACTCTTCCACTTTCAACCCCTCTCGCTTTTGCACCCTCTCTTTCTCCTCTGTTCCTAACACCTCCTCTGCTCCTCACACCTCCTCTGCTCCTCACATCCCCTCCCTGCCCTGCCTGTTGCCCCGCACCCCCCCTGCTCGCCCCCCACCACTCATCACCATCCCACTCTCCACCACTCCACCGCTCTCTCTCCACTGCCCCTCTGTCTGTCCTCCTCCGCACATTCCTTCCCGATCCATGCCTATACCTCCCTGCCACACGCCGCAGTCGCCCTCCATCACCCCATCCCTCCTCCTCTCCCCCCCCCCACCTCCTCAACTTCCTCCTCCTCCTCCGCCTCCCCATTCCCCTCCCCCCCATCCTCCACCTCCACCACTTCATCCTCCTCTTCCCCATCCTCCTCCCCTCCCTCACCCTCTTCCCAATCCTCCTCCTCCTTCTCGTCCTCCTCCTCCCACTCCTCCTCGTCCCACAGTGGTGCCTCAGCAGGGCAAGTGTGGGCGGTGAGCAGAGCGAGGGGCAGCCAGGGCGCCGTGTGCTTGCGCCACCGCCTGTAGTGCTTCCACTGCCCATGCTGCTTCAGCCGCGGGATGATGCCCAGCTGCAGCGGCAGGTGGGGGTGGTGAGGGAGCAGGCGAACGGTTAAGGAAGATAGGAAAAACGGAGGGAAGGGAGAGAGGAGGGAGAGGCAAAGGAGGGAGAGACGGAAGAGCAGGGAGAGGAGGGACAGGAGGGAGAGGAGGCAGAGGCAGAGGAGGCAGAGGCAGAGGTAAACCCATATTGAAATCATACACAATCAGACTATGCCTCACCTCGGGGTCGGGGTTGAAGCACTGAGTGGTGGGGTCCCAGGCGACTTCAGGCGGCAGCAGCTCCTGAAGCACCTGAATGTCCTTCACCCACCCGCGCACAACTTTGCACCGCATTCGCAGCTGCTCCCCCGAATACCGCGGGAATCCTCGCCGCAACCACTCGCGGTGCACCGCCCCCCAGTCGATCCTGCCGGAGAGGGCGGAGCCCTCAGCGCGCAGCACATCCCGCAAGATCCCCAGCAGGGCTGTCGTCTGCTCGTCGTCCCAAATCGCCCGCCCCTTGCCGATCTGCAATGCCTGCTCCCACCGCTCACGCAAATCCCTGCCTGTGCCAGTGCCTGCGCCCGTGCCCGTGCCTGTGCCCGTGCCTGTGCCCGTGCCTGTGCCCGTGCCTGTGCCCGTGCCTATGCCCGTGCCTGTGCCTGTGCCCGTGGCCGGGCCTGTGCCTGTGCCCGTGCCCGTGCCCGTACCTGTGCCCGTGCCTGTACCCATGCCTGTTCCCGTGCCTGTGGCCGTGCCCGTGCCTGTGTCTGCGAGCATGGCACTGCCTCTGCCTGTGGACCCAGTGCCCGGCACAGCAGGCTCGTAAGTGCTTGTGGGCAGGGGGGGGAGCGGGGAGGCCAAGGAGCGAAGAGTGGAGGGAGGGCGAGGGGAAGGCGTAAGGGGGGACGGCGGGGCGACCAGGCAGGGCGACAAGGGAATTGGCGGCCAGAACCGACTCCAACCGCACGCCACCGCGCTGCTCCTCCGCTTCCCCAGAAACCCTCCCTGCTGCGGCTGCTCCCTTTCGTTGCGCTGCTGTCGAGTCGCCGCCTGCGCGTGCAGCCTCCGCCCTCTGCGCGGCTTCCGCCGGCAGGTCAGGCGGTCTGCTTGGCGGCTGGCTGGAAGTTTGCTGATTGGTGAGCGTCTGTAGGCGCTGTAAGAGAAACGAGCGAGTCATGCTGTAACGAGGAAAACGGGAAGGGGGAGAAATGCAAATGAGCCAGTGCAATTATTGTTACGGAAGCTTGCGTAGGCTGCGTTTATGAACCTGCGTTCATGAATTGCGATACGTCAGATGTAGGGTTCGCAGGCAAAACGACCACACGTTCCGCAATGTGACCGCAAATCGAGGTACTCGTTATAAGCTCTATTCGCTGACCTGTTTGCGATCCACGACAACGTGCCCAAACAACATCCACGACACAGCGCGTATGAACCCTGTCCCCCCACCTGCAACTTTCACATCATGTACCCTTGTCTTGTGGACTGTGAAATCGTCGCCAGTTGTTAATTCCCTGCACGTGATAGGCTGTGCAATTTTCGTGTTTTTCGTGATCAGTGGAGCCCGTTTCGCTCCGTGTCGAGCGTTAGTGTCGCACCCGAAATAGCGAGGATTGCAACCAGATTGTACACCGACGAGTTCGGTAGAAGTTGTAGGCCTAAAAAGGCACATCTAAACAAACAGATTTGTCATATGTCAAAACCTAACAGAACCAGGTAGAACATGTCAGAAATCATTAGTATGTTACAAAATGAACCATCCGTGGTGTTTGTACGTTTGCTTCAAAATAGGCAAGTATTGCTGCTAGAATCACGTGCCACAATGAGGGCGTCAGATGAACCACGCTCCGAAACCACTCAAAATTAGTGAATCTCAAAATGTCAAATGTTGTAGCCTTTAGTGATGTACCCCAACCAACCTTAGTAAAACACCATCCAGTTCTTGACATGGTATCACCTAGGTTAGAATCCTGTGAGATCCCGTTCCTCCCGCTCACGCCCGTAGCGCCCGAGCCTGTCCCGTACCCTAGTGTTAGTCACACTCGTACCGTTCCCTAGCGCACGCTGCGCCTGCCGGTCGCGTCGCGCCCGCTTTCCCCGTCGTTCCCCCCCCCCCCCCCCCCCCCCCCCCCCACCCCCTCCCCCCCTCCCCATCCCGTCCGTCGCGTTGCGCCTGTCTGCCGCGTCGCCCCCGTCCCGTCTGTCCCGTCCCTCGCATCGCCCCTGACCGTCGCGTCGCGTCCGGCCCGTCTGTCGCGTCGCGTCTGTCCTGTCCCATCTAGCCCGTCGCGCCCGTCCCGTCTGTCCCGTCGCGTGCGCCGTGCCTGCCCGTCCCGCAGCGCCACGCCGCACCCGTCCCGTCCTGCTTGCCATGCACCACCACGCCGCGCCCGTCCCGTCCTGCCTGCCGCGCAGCGCCGAACCGCACGTGTCTTGTCCCGTCCTACCGCGCCGCGCTGCGCCCGTCCTGTCCCATCGCGCCGCACTGCCCATTCTGCCGTTGTGCCCTACCCTGCCGTCCTGCAGTTCCCTGAGCCTCACGCACTGCCTGTCACGCCCTACTCAGGCCCTTTAGGCGTTTAGGGTTTCGGCAGCAGCAGTTCCTACCGCTTCGCTTCCGTTATGGCGACCCCTAGGGTCATGCGCTTTGACGGCGAGGGTAGGCCGCTCGAGTTCTCGGTCTGGCTTCTGCGTGCGCGCCGCCTCCTAGAGAGTCAAGCGCAGGCAGACGAGTCTTTGTGGGCGCATGCTTCCACTGACCTTCTTGCGCCCTCCGACCCTCATGCCGCACTACAGACAGAGACCGTTATGCACGCCAGCGTGCTGACCTGACAGCGTGGAAGTCGCAAGACGCTGCGGCCTGCATCGCCCTTAGCACCCTCCTCCCTGAGTCTGAGAAGACCCTCTTCACTCAGGTTCCCACTGCTAGTGAGTTCTTGACCGCGATCAAGGCCCGCTACGCTACTCCCACCACTAGCTCCCTTGGTCGACTATTCCTCCCGGTCCTGTTTCCTGACCTCGCCTTGTTTGAGCGCTCTAGTGACTTGATGGCTCACTTGCGCTCGCTCGATTCTAACTATCGCGCTGCCTGCACTGACGCACAACTTGCACTGCTCCCTCCCCCTATCGCGATGACTATTTATTTCATCGCCACAAGCCTTTTAGACTGCCTTGCCTCGGTTCGTGACGCGCTTCTTCTGAAGCACCCTAGCGAGCTCACTATCGAGGTCCTTGTGTCTGCCCTCAAGGACGTCGAGAGCAGCCTCCGCTCGGTAGCCTCCGCCGCTGGCGCTATGCCCCCTCCATTGTTTCACGGGTGCACTGTCCATCAGCTGCCCACCTCTACTGCCTCCCTCGCCACTGCCGCTACTAACGTGACCGCGGCTGCTGCTACGACTTCTTCGCGGTCTAGGGGTAAGAGTGGCATGAGGGGCGGTTAGGGTGCGGGCGGAGGCGGCAGAGGTGGCGGAGGTGAGCGGCAGTGGCGGGAGTGCAGGAGTTGGAGGAGCACCTTGTGCAGCGGCTAGTGACTCCCGTGCTGCAGCTGGTGGAGGTGACGCTCGGGTACGTCAGGCACCTACTGGACTGCCAGCTGCAGGTGCTGGAGTGGCGGCTTGGTACCCGACTCAGCGATAGCAGTAGCAGCAGCCATAGCAGCAGCAGGATCCGGGAAGGGGTTAGGACCGCGTCAGCTGTCGTGCGGTGCCGTCCACCCTCTCTGCACCTATCTCGTCTAGACAGGTACTCGCTGAGGCCTCTCCTGTAGCTGCAGCCACACCCCGGGTCAGTGCTTTGGTCATGCCCCATCCACGGTCATGCCCCTGACTGGCTTCCTTTTCTTCACTCGCACGGTGCTGCCCTGTGGGGCATGTTTGCTTCTCAGTTGCTTGATCTCTTAGGAACTCCTCATGCTATGTATACTATTATTGACTCTAGTGCTTCTGAGTCTGTTTTCTCGAGTGTTTTTAGCTTAGGTGCTAGTGTTGCAGAGGTGCTTGTTGCTAGTGTAGGTATGTCCCTCAGCTCTCCCTCCTGCTCCCTCAGTACAGCCTCCCCCCCTTGGTCCAGCCCCGTCAGGTATGTCCCACGCTACCCCTCCCCTCTCGGTAGCCCCTCAGGTGCAGCCTCCTTCCCCGCAGTCCTCTTCACAGCCTACAGTAGACCCTGTGGGAGCCGGTGTTCGTGGCGAGGACCCTGGAGGTGCTAGCTCTAGAGGAGTTGGAGTAGGAGCTGAGAGTGTACCAATGCGAGGTCCTGGTTCTGAGGGTGCTGGAGTTGAGGCTGAGCCCGTGCCTGCAGGAGCCTCTAATCTTCGGGGAGCTGGTGTTAGTCGATCTGTCCTTGGGGGTGCTACGCCTGGGGGTGCGCCCTCTACTGGACCTGGAGAGCCTGGGACTGACCCTGTTACTTCCGGTGGTGCTGGCTTTGGGGGTGGTGCGGCTGATGCCTTGGAGGGTAGAAGTGGGGCTGCCCCTGCCCCGGACACTACTCCGCACCCGCACCCCTACCCGACCCGGCACCAGGCCCGTCGTCGCCGTGCACGTGAGGAGCAGCTCGAGTTCGAGAGGGAGGGCCTAGAGTTGGAGCGGCAGCAGCTGGAGCTACCGCAGCTAGAGGAGCAGCAGCAGCAGTAGCAGCCGGAGCAGCAGCAGCTGCCGCAGCTGGAGGAGCAGCCGCCGTAGCACCAGCAGTCGCAGCTGGAGGAGCAGCAGCCGCAGCCGCAGCAGGAGCATCAGCAGCCGCCACTTCCTCCTCCTGTCTCTGGTCTTCAGACCCTCGGTCTCCCCTCTCCCTCTCCTCCCTCCTCCCTCTCTCCTGCCGTCTCTAGTCCCCCGCTTCCTCCTCCTGACCCCTCCCCAACTGTTTTCCCTTGTTCTCAGCCTCCGTTATCCCCTCCTCTTTCTCACACTTGGGCCTCTCATCGCTCTCCTCGTGCTCGTCCCTCGTCCCCTGTTCCCGTCACTGACCTTCGTACTGCCCTGTTTCGTCCTAGCTCCCCTCGTCCTTCTCCTTCTGTGCTTCCTTCTCCTCCTGAGTCGGCCCTCACCGCTTCCATTTCTACTCCTGTCACTTACTACTACCGCACGTACCGACATGTTCTCTCTCATGTTCTCGCCTCTCTTATTACCGACCCACGTGCTATTCTGTCCTCTGTCTCCGCTGTTACTGCCGCAGTCACTGAGTATGCCTCTACTCGCCGCCTTGATTACGCCACTAGTCTTGTGGCTGCTCCTCCTACCAGTCCTTTGGCTGTCAGGGGTGAGTCTGCCCTTGGCTGTTACGCCCTAGAGGATAGACAGTTTGAGCTAAAGTTCCTGGCAGCCGCTTCCCCTCATCTCTGTGCCATGCTGCTCGCCCATGAGGGAGACCCCGACGCCCTTGACATACCGACTCCTCGCACTTACGCTGAGGCAGTATCAGGGCCTTGAGCCTCTCAGTAAAGAGCTGCCATGGACGCAGAGGTGGCCTCCTACAGATCCACATGCACCTACGTCGACAAGGTTCACCCCCCTTGGGCGAACGTAGTCGATGACATGTGGATCTACAGGGTGAAGCGGCCACCGGGATCTCCTCCGGTTTTCAAGGCGCACTACAGGGTGGCTAGTTCAGTCAGCGCGAGGGAGTTGACTTCTTTCCGACCTTCGCAAGGGATGACCACTCTTCGAGTGTTACTGCATGTAGAAGTAGAGAGAGACTACGAGCTACTTTCTCTCGACTTCTCCACTGCCTACCTTGAGGGTAGTCTACACGAGGAGGTGTGGTTGCGATGTCCCTCTGCCTTCACTGTACTTTCCCTCCTGGGACCTAGTGGAGGCTGAGGCGACCGGTCTACGGTCTTTATCAGGCTCCTCGTGAGTGGCACGACAGCCTTCGTTCTACCCTGTCCGACCTCGGTTTTCAACCGTCTTGTGCTGACCCGTCGCTGTTCGTTCGTCGTGGCTCCACACCGTTCTTTGTACTGGTCTACGTCGACGACCTGGTTTTCGCCACTTCTAACAGGGTTGCTTTGGCTGACGTGAAGTTTGAATTGCAGAAGAGACACACGTGCACTGAACTTGGTGAGCTGCGCCATTACCTTGGCCTGAAGATTACCAGGGACAGAGCCGCTCGCAAGATTATACTCTCATAGCCACACATGGTGCAGCAGGTCCTTGAGCAGTTCAAGCTTCAGCACTC